GCACAAAACCAATACATCCACCCCTTCTCCCGCTACGGCATGTTAACTTTACCTCTAAAAGACGGAGGGGGTTGGGGGAGTGCGAGTTCAAATCGCCATCGATTCTAGAACGCGACCGAACGAAATAGGAACGCAACATAAAAAACGGGATCGTTCTAGCCCTCGCCGTCTCCGAATAAATGCGAAAATATGAAAAAGAGATCTGTTTAGCCAATCGTGGTGACATTTATGAGCAATTTGGGGGAGGGGGGGCTGGAGGGAAGTGCGACCTAACGCATCTGAAGCACGGGAGGGGGGGGGGGTCGAACCCAATCGAAAAAAAAATTAGAAAAGTGCCCACCCCTAACCGCTACGGATTCCGAAAGTACCGACCCCGTAGATCCATAACTTCCCGGTTAGACGCGCCCAGTAAAAGGAAAGGGGAAAGGAGAAAAGGGAAAGGAGAAAGGGGAAAGGGGAAAGAGACAAAAGGAAAAAAGTCAACGCATTTTATTCCTCCGCCGGAGGCGGACTGCTCATGGTTTCCTGGCCCTCTTCGGCCAGAGAACGGGAATGAAAGGATAGGTAAAGTTAAGGATGGGAACAGAAGAAACGGAATTAGGGTGCTGAGAGGAAAGAGTGGGATTCGAACCCACAACCTCCCGAATAGCAGTTCCCAGAAACGCAAATTGATAGATGTATCAAATCCACGTGGCCTGAAAATTCTATAAACACAGTAAAGACGCGCGGCGCACCAGGCTCGATAATGGCGGACTAGACTTTTGCAAAATTGTCAAGTAATTCTAGTTAATTTCGTTATCTCCCACGACTTTCTGGCGCCGGCAGCCTTCACACGCAAACACACAGCCGTTTTGGAATAACCAACCCTCTAATGAAACCACCCTGTATTATTTCATAGTATTCAATACTTACAACCGTGTAACCCTAACGGAATTCAATTTTAAACCATTTATTGGAAGAAACCGTTCCAATTATCCAAATTAAATCCTTTATTTGTCATATACGCCATAGTTATCAGTGAGGCTTTCTTTTAAATCGTATCTTTCACCCCATTGACGGAAAATTGTATCGTTTAACATGCTAAAAAGGGGCCATATAATGTTTCATTTTTTACACTGCGAATTAACCTTCTTTGGGAAAATTTCTGTTGTATCAGCGTAAATTGTAAACACCCAACCAATGAAAATTAACGAGTATCGCCGCCATTACTTTCCATCACGAAATAGTCGTTTTAAGTGAGCTTAGTGTGCCATAACATATAAAGAAAGCAACGAAATTGCGACAAAGAAAACTGTTAGCAAAGTAATATTGTGTTCACGCGCATATTTTGTGCCGATAAAGTGAACGTGAAAAGAAGACTTTTAGCTTGCGGAATTAAATCGTATTCCGTTTAAATTTCATTGTAAGGGAACCCTACTTCAGAGGCTATTCATCCGTTAATTCAGATCTATGCCGGGTAGAAATTTAATTAATGCAATGAAGGAGGCCTGGAACGTGTGGTGTAAGAATTAGCTGTTGGACTTCGAGCCAAATGCCGCCGTTATTTTTCATCTCGATTATGTTGTATTTGTTAAGAAAAGCGTGCACGGAGTTGAGAGCAATTTTATTTTGACGTGTCATGTCGTAACCGTTTGCAATTCAGCACAAATTATTCATAAAAGAAAGATCGTGATGTAAATTATCCAAATGTTTTTCGTTCTTAATATGCATTTCGTGTAAATTTTGTACCATTTGCATTTATGACAGCAAACGATATTGTGCGAAATGATATATTGACGCATCCGATGCTTTCATTTACGCAACCGTCCGCCTTGAATGAACGGAAAAGTGACCTACGATCTACACTAATTACTACACTTTTTTCGTTCCTTCATTAATTGAAGATTACGCCGTGGTAACCTTGCGCATTGTGCATTTTCCGAATCGAAAAAAAGACTCCTCGGTCACGCTTCACGCGGCTGTCTCGAGGGAATATATTGCGAAATCGATCATTCATAAGTTAACGCTGACATCATCCGTTTTTAAATCCCGGATAATTTATCTCAGTTACAATTTGTGAAAAATGGGGTTAAGCGCCAATTTCACGACATTCTGAAGGTTCGTCCCTGAAGATTACTACACCTTTTTATGGTCGCCGCTCCTTCTTCAATGTTATTGACGCGCTTTAATTGGCAATTAATTCAAAGTTTTCAGGTAAATGAACCAAAATTAAAAGAACGCACTGTTCCAACCAATTTTGAGTCTGACAATGAAACTAATTGATGGTCATTTTCTTTACTTAAATAATTATAGGATACGCTTTAAAGTAGCAATGTCTTTCAGACGGTAGTGACTTTAATGAGTGCAATCATTTTACGTGTGCCTAATTAGAATAATTGAGATTGACGTGCGCTTCTCTTACCTACAGGAATGCGTAGAGAGAAGAGGAGAATAAATTAGTATAAGTACGTATGTCTATTCAGGACACTTGAAAGGGCGTAATATTTCTTCATCGAAATGGACTTGACCGTCGAAAATGCGTTTGAACGTTTTTCCATAAAATTCGATCTATAAAAATCCAACGTTTCATATTTTTAAAATCCGAATGCAAAAACGAATATTAATTATTGTTCTTAGTTACTCTCCTTAGGCCCAAACCCCTTTATTTTTAACTTTAGGTGCACAGTGAGGTGGCTTTCGCGTCTTCGCTCTCGTTTTTCCATTACTCTCCATTGAGCTACATCCAGGGGTGTATTTCCCACAAGGAGGACTAGTTGCGCGCCTATAGCGGCAAATTTTGGAGGTAAACGTATTCACAAGTTTTGGTTTTGTTTAGCGAGAAACGTAGGGACCACAAATTTAGATATCTGCTTGTTTGTCTGGTCTAACTATAGAGACAGCATAACCAAACTAGAAACACTACTCCACTCTTTTACATAAAACATGAGCTGATTTTAACCAAAAGTTGACAAAAATATGTACTTTGGTTCCATAATAGTAAAAACAAAAAAAAACTGCTTTAGTAGATCAATGCAAATTTCAGGTCACCCATTAGCTTGTATTAACTGGTGTATCTAATTTGAGGTTATACCGTATATATCTATGTAACTGAAAAGTGTTCAACAATATTGATAGTAGCCCCCTAATCAACTGGCAGATTTGTTATTACCTTAGTTACTTGGTTCGCCACTAGAGGTCGTGATCTACTTTTTTTGCATACGCATTCCCTGTACTTCTTCTCTTCAGAGACGATCTGGCCGTCATATTGGTTGGGTGCACATTTTTCTCGATATTCCATTACTTTTTACTTGACTTAGTGTCTACCTGTTTTGGCTATCAGCATATTTCTTTGGAGTGTTTCCTCTCTATTTCTGATGTGCTGTGGCTGTGCTCCATTGAATACGCTTTACATATTTGTGTTTGCAAGTAATTTAGTGTAAGGTATGTACTTCAGCATTTTTCTTAATACGTATTTTTTACGGCTATACCTTCCCTCGCGGATTAATTATCCGCGCAGAGTAAAATTCATTACGCGAGAAACTTTTTTTGATTTTTCTAGAATTGTATCACATATATCGAATGAACAAAAAAGTTTCTCGCACGATGATTTTTACTCTGCGCGGATAATTAATGCGCGATCTTGTAGGGCTTATTAAAACTACTCTAATACCAGATAAAAGCATTATAGGAGGGGCACATCATTCTAGTTTCAGACACCGAAAGAATAAACATACATGGTTATGTTAAACGAATCCGGAGTAAAAAAATAAATAGCAGAACCGCGCACGGATTATCCGAAAGCTATAATACATTCGAACCTTAGAGAAGGAAAGATAGAAGAGGTATAAAAGGTGATCGTAAATTTTAGCTCCGTTCGCCACTAATAACATGGCCGCCTACTATCCTTTTTATGGAATTAAAGCAGCAACCAGATCGGACCATTTTCACAAAAGAACAAGAAAGTTAATTTTGATGCGTACAATCAACGCGTGTGTTGATCCCCTTTTTGCTAAAAATTGATTTCAATTTACATTCAATCAGTATAGCTAAACGAAAGAGGTGACACATTTTTGTAGTGTTGGACTTTATGGACTTTATGGACGTCATCACTAGATATTTGCCAATTTTTGGAGGTTCATTTGATTTTTGCGGCTGAAAGGTCCTTTTTGGTCCATTTTCGACGCCCATTAACAAATGGAAAGTTTTCAATTTATGGCAAAACTCAGTTGTCAGTTACACTCGGTGTAATTTATTAGCGATACGTGCTTTGTTTAATTTCGTAGTATTGTTTCACTATTTCTATATATAATGCAGATTAAACTTCACCTTTGGCAAAGTTATTACCTCTTTATTTACCGGTTTACTGCCAACGGTTCAATTGACTTTTATCTTTCGCATTCTAAAAGCATCTTCAGCTCTAGAAAAAGGATAAAAAAAACCTTTTAGCACATCCCACGACAGGTTTCACTGATGTTCAAATCCTTATGAGGTCTCCATCTTGTAGACGTTTGTTTTGTGACACTGTATGCGAATAGTTATAACTTATATTGATATTAATAGATATTAATTAATTAAAAAGTACCAACGCCTTTATTCACAGAAAAACGTACACAATTTGCACGAATTTCTATACTATAGCTGAATCAACTGCTACACACGCATAAGTACATTTTTGCAAAATGATTCAATTCTATCAAGTACAATCCAAACAGCAAGAGTTACTGTAACTAAAAGTGCTGAAATGTTAAAAGTATTTTAAGTGCTATGCAGGGAGAATGGGGGAATAGCGGTCACCTAAGCCTTAATTAGAATTGTGGCAAAGCGGTTGACCATTTATCGAAGATCCTTGTTTTATAAGATGGTTAATATGGCTACTATACATTGACAAATTCTGATAACAGCAATATTTAATACCATGAAGAAAATTTAGATAAATTGATGACACGTCATTGACCGGAATCACCCCACTATGCGGGTAATTACGGTCAGCATTATCCCAATGCTTTTTAAATGGACATATCTTATTTCGAACATATTTTATTAAATAATCGTAAATAATAACAGTAAGTACGTTAAATAAATCAGTACATTGTTCTTGAAACACAACAAAATAAAAAAAATTTCCAAAACTAACAACACTTAATTTTAAAAATGGGAAAAAAGTGAAATTGTTTCAAAATCTATATTTTAATGCAAATGTCGCATATGTAGTTCTCTGGGCTGTCAAATCCACTGCACAATTCATGGGCCCAACTGCCACACTGTGTGCAGCGGTACCACAACTCCCCTTCTCGTCCAAACTCTTCGCATATAATGCAGATATAAATAGAATAGCATTCTGCAATTGAGTCGCACTCCAGGCGCCTTTCTTCCCCTGTGCTTTGTAATTTCTAGGCATCTGCAACAAAAACTAATTCCTAAGCCGTTTTCTTCATTGCGAAATAGGTGGGGTAATTCCGGTCATGACTGGTATTCCCCCAGCACTTCTGACCGGTATTGCCCAATCACACACTATCGTAGAAACGTAAACATTAAAAATGCTAGACCAGCAATCGACACTTTCCAAAATAAGAATAAGAAAGAACACGTGTTCCTTGACATATTGCTATCCATAGTATTACAATACATAAGAAATTTGGTTACTTACCTCGCTATAAAATTAACCGATTTTTATACTTCCTGTAACGTTAAACGTATCTTAGTCACTGCTGTGATCATACTGGGCCGTTGAAAGCGAAACCTCGTTAAATTAACTTACGGCGACATACAATAGGTGGCAGACCTGTTCTATGTTGGCTTGGTTTGACAGGTAACTGTATTCTCTGGTGACCGGAATTACCCATCTGACTGGGATTCCCCCACATTCCCCCCACTGAATATATTTGAGTTCCCTTTGTCTGGTGTTTATGTGACCAAAAACTAGGTGAAGTTACAAATGTACACATTTATTCCATGTGAATTTTATTCGGGGACGCACACCACAAAAAAAACCTATGGGAACTAAACGTAAAGCTCATTTTGTGAATCATTTACACGCACTATAGTTGGTGGCTCTAGAAACTTGTCAAGAATTATTTGTCAAAAACTAATACGGATCCAATATATTATACAGTAAGACAGTATGCCCTAACCTGAATGTTGTTCACGTGAAATCTGTACGGCTAAACTATGCCTTTAAATGACAACAACGTATATAGAAAGTACAAATCTGTACGTCATGTACTTGGGTCCGAAATAAGTGCGTATATAATTCAAGAAGTAGTCAGTTTGGCGTAATGGTTTAAGACTCGGACTCTCACAGTTTGTGAGTTTGAATCCGTCCACTTGCTAGTTTTTAGTGGTACAGAACATGACTACCATCCTTCGGAGGGCATGTAAAGCTGGCGGTCCCGGAAGTCGTACCAGGACTGTCGTTAGGTTACACAGACGGCTATTGATGCGACCTGAAAACGTCTGTACTTAGGGAGTACTACCCATACGATAATATAACCATCAATGTCTGCAATATGATAGTTGGCAGCAAAATACATCGTAAGTATTTTAAATGTAGAAGATATGTAAATATTGACGGAAGATGTATTTTGTATACGGCATGTCAGATCTTAGATGTAAAGCAACACAAGGAAATTTGATCATCTGAAAAGGTGTAAATACATTAACCTGCTGACTTAACGCGAAAAGCGGTCAACCTCTAGTTCGAGAAGAAAAGCCAGAGACGATGCAGTCAAACCGATTCTGAGTATGGTAAATGCGAAACCAAGATGGGTTATGGTCAGAGGAACTTCATCCGGTAGCTCGGCACGCAGGCTTTCGTGATACCTAAAAAAGGTTGGTACTCACTGTACCCTTTGGGCCCTATTCCAGACTCCATCAATGAATCGAAAAATTGTTTTACGTATGGGAAAAACTGGTGGTTGGAACATGAACTAATCCTTATTTCCCCACACTCCGTCAAACTGCTATTCACAACTAGATGCACGTTCAGTTTTTCATGGCCCAACCAACTCTTTATCATCACAAAATTTTCGTAAGCATTATATCAATACAGACTCATTAGAGTACTTGTGTATGTTATTCACAGCATGCATCATTCCTTGGGAAACAAGTAAAGTCTGTAGCTTTTCATAAAATGTGCCATTTGTATATAATTGAGGTTCAAACAATACCTTCGATCTCTTTTTAAAATGTTTATACGCAGATTTGAATCCAAAAGCTCTTCCAAAGTATTTATTTGGTGATCGTACTGGGGAACTGTCAATATGTCGATCAAGTTCGCTGTAAATCCGCAACTAATGTGGATTATGTAAATTAAGTAGGTTAGTAAAACGCAGCGAAGGGTAAAGCCTCTAGGTACGTTGGCTATTGACCCAAGTATCGTAAGGGAAGTGACGTTGCCGAAGGCAATTGCTAAAGTTTGTAAATTTGAGTGGCGTCGATTTGCCGACAATATGTATCACCACACTAATGTTGTAATGATAAATGTTACTAAAATCATATACCACAATATCTTCTCAAAGGTAGAGAATATGAAACGAATTGCGGGTATTACACGTGCTTTTGGTACCACCCAAAAAGTGAGAATCGGTTTCCTTGTAACGAATCTACTGTATGAGTAGAATAGTTTAACCACTGACGTAGAGTAGCATATTAAGGGATTCTCTAGTAGGTCTATCATATTGTCTTTATTACTTTTAAATTTATAACTTCCATTGTAATGGTTTGCTAGTAATTCAAGCATAAATTCTACATACGTAAAGACGGGATGCTTGGGACCTGATTTGCGATAGCGTTTTTTATAGTAAATTATCGCACATCCATTCAAGTTTGGCGACGTACGCCGAAAACCAGAAAGGTTTGGTGTGGACAGATTTTGAGATTTGATGACCTTTTGCTTACTTCCGCAATCATTCGCTGGTTCATACCAGTCGAAAGTGTACAACGTTTTGGTGTGATTAACATAATTTAGTATAAATGCGTTGTATATGCCGTCTCGCCAAAACGATCGAAACCATCTTTCTATTATTATTTCCTTTGCAATTAACAACAAATAAATCGTTCCATTTCCTTTACGGTGCACGTCGAATACAACAAATATTGGCTGTCGCGTCTCATTGTTAGTGGTCTCATCCTCACACAGCACGAAATCGTCGGCATCACGAAAATATTCTGGTTCGGCAAAGCTTCTATTGCTATTTATGGTTGTGACGTTGTTTTCTTTACCGTGTAATCTTTGCTTTGGCTTACATTTGAATTACTATGTGGAATCCTTCTCGAATAACATTATGCGAACTCTTACCTTTATATAGCAATCCTTACGCCATCTAGGTGTTCACATTATAACCCGATCCTTTATTTGCGATATAGTTTTCTTTTTAAAAACCTTTTGTCTAGTTTTCTGTTGATTGGCGCGGTTATCTTCTCCCACTCACTGTCGACGCGCGCAGTCCTTGTTGAAGAACTCGATTCGATCTTGACTTGTATTTGAACTACACGCCATTACACTTACCTGACATATTTGTCTACCTTTATTGGGATTAAATAGTGGTGTTGTATTAAGATTAGTGAAGTTTTCTCTTATCATCTTACTTCCAATTTCGCTGATGACGCATTGCTGCGGATTTATCTTACAAGTTTAAGGCCGTTTTGCGGTATGTTATCTATGACGCATTATCTTTTTATTTTAAATAATCTATTCTAGGCTACTTTGGTACTCCCTAAGTTTTCTTACTTATTATTTTGGTTTTACCAATTGCTTCCTGACTGTACATTGATATTTTGACGTGGAAACGCAAATACCCGATTTTCCATATGGTGCAATAGAATTCCATTGAAGTTTCGACGCCATTACAATCAAAAACGCTCTACATATTTCTACCTTACCGACTGAAGAATTGACTGAAGAATTACCGCCATTTCATGTGAAACCGATATTTGAACTGATGACCCAATTTTACGAAGTTCGTTGACCTACGATTCATTCTTTCGAAACGCAAGTACTTAATTAACGAGACGTGTGGAGTTGATACTGTGTAAATTTTTAATTAACGTTATGTATTTTGCTTTGAAGAACTTGCTCGTGTAAGTTTGTTTGCATTTGAATTGATAAGATTGCTTTGTCATTGAAGATAGATTCAGTTATTTTATTTGTACATTTTGTAATATTTTTCTCTTAAAATTTCATGTCATTTTTTTGATATCTCATACCGATTGTGAAAACCAACCCTTAGTCGAACCAAATTTTGTTTTGTTGTAAAGTCATTTGAATTTTTGATTCTTTTTAGTATTGATTGCAATTCTACGTACAAGAATAACCATTCGTGTCTTACGTTAACCATTGCTTATGCGATATACTGTGCAACGCGAATCATTACCCTTCTTACATTTTTTTGTTTTTGTGTCTGACTGTTTCAGATTTGCAGTTTCGCGTCCTCTGAGCTCGGAAGGTTGCGATCGCAGTTCAAGGTAAATTTAGTTATTTTCGTCGTTTTTTTCCCTTTTAACGTTTGATTACATTTTGGTTGTTGATACTAACGAGTTGTGATTATTACTTTGTTTGAAAGTCACTTAATGATTATAGCTCCGTTGTTTCTGCGGAAGCCCTTTTGGATAAATACTTTCCCAGGCTACGTGTTGGCTTCTCATTTGTTTTATTAGAGATTATTTTAAATTCCCAGTTTGATATAAGTACTAGATCGATATATTACAGTGTCAGATTTGTGATATTTTGAGATCTTTGTTATTAAACTACCCGCATTTATACATCAAATACTGTTTGTTTTCCCCATAATTGTGTCTTCCTTTGAGTTTAGTAAGATGAGAACAAGGATCTCTTGGTCTGCCTTGTTCATCCCTTTAGTATTCCTCTCTCTCTCTAGATTCATCAAATACTAAGTGGCGCCTATCCGGAATACTTTTACTGTTTCCTTCCCTTTTTGGCTTATTTGTGTGTGTATAGAAGAATCCCATTTTCACCCCGACCCACCTCTACTTTGCCTGAGCTTATCGTGTGCTTATCTAAGGTAATTTTGTCACGTTGGCCCAAAGTGAACGTAACATGGTGACATGCGGTATTGATAAACTCGTGTTGAACAAACTGTTGTTGCAAAATTCACCACCATCCTTTATCACGTATAAAAACTGAGATCCCTGGAAGAGACCTTCGACTACTTCTTGATCGCTCAAATAACTTGCACTTATCTCAGAGACATGGAGAGAGGAGATAGCGCATGAAACTGCGCGAAGTGACAAAACAAGGGGGCTGCCATTTTGACACCCATTGAAGCGCGAAATTTGAACAGGACTATAAAGGTTTACTGACGCAACCCAGAGACATCTAACGCAATCTTCATACACTACACTCTATTCGGCAGCAGCTCCGTAGGAAGAAACTAATATCTCAATCCAAATGAACAAAAGAAAATGCCAGTGACGTTGACGTTACAAAATAAACACTTAAACCTCGAAAAAAGCTCTCCTAAACACGAACACACGCTAAAATAACACCACTATAAACACAACATGACACAACGGGTGTAAAAATGGCAGCGCCCATGAGGTCGCACCCTTTCTTGGATGCGCACTCGTCGATCAGCGATCTCCTCTCTCCATGTCTCTGACTTATCTGCACAGAAAAAATTGCGCACAACATAAAAAACCCGAAGGCAAGGTTTTCCCCATTTTGAAACCTTCACTAGACGATAACCAATACGAAAGTGTGCTTGAAATCGACTGAAAGCACACAAAACATTACGTTATTTATCGACCTACTTCTTAGGTTAGACCAAT